ATGTAATGTATAATGTATGTATATGGTGTATATCTATGTATATAAGAATATATATGTAATGTATAATGTATGTATATGGTATATATCTATGTATATCAGGATGTATATGTAATGTATAATGTATGTATATGGTGTATATCTATGTATATCAGGATGTATATGTATTATGTAATGTATAATGTATGTATATGATGTATATCTATGTATATCAGGATGTATATGTAATGTATAATGTATGTATATGGTGTATATCTACTAGCTCGGGAACGTGTCAAATCCGCTTTATGGTTTCAAAGCATCAGGGGCTACAAATCTGACTCTATAAGAAGGGGGGGGGGCGGTGTTATTGACAGAACATGAAATGTATCATAAAATAGGTAATGGGGTACTATATGGCTACCTATAAATGCAACGTTTTTTGGGAAAATTTTAGATCTTATAACAACTATAGACTCAAAAACCCCTTCTTCCCCCACCTAACATCTCTCTTGACGCCCCTTGGTGCCTATAATTGAGTATAGTTTAGTAGTGATATATAAACAGTATAGGAGGGTGCTCAAATCTTAACGACAATCTTAACTTTATATAAAAATAGATCAAGATCAAGGAGGCTATACAATACACTACAATACACTACAGGGCTGTACACATCCTTTACACTATGCATGGATCAAATTTAATGAATGGTGAAACGTAGTTGAACTACGTAGACTTGGTTGAACCACTTCTCGTTTGCGCCCAGGTTCAAGTTCAAAAGTGGTAGTTCAAACTTCCTGTTTAAATACAGTTAAACAGAAAACTGTGGAACTATCGTAGTTTTCGTTTTTTAATCAGCCGCTAAATGATTGTTTACTTCTTATAACTGATATACTTTAAAATATTTTTAGACCTTATTTAAAGATAAAATTTAATTTTGCTTGAACAATTAAAAAAAATGTTTAAAATCAATTAGGTTAAAACAAGAAGGAATACAGTTCAGAGAAAAGAGCAACTAGTTAAGAAACATAAAGTAAAGCCAATAAAGCCAAAAATTAACACAAAAATGCAGGAATTACAAGAATTATGTCCCGCTGTATTTATGTATATATAAAAGTGTAGGAGTGAGCAGCTGTAAAATTCTGCAGAAAAAAAAACTGAAAAATTGATCGGATGCTCAATTGACTAGGAGTAGAGGAAAATAGAAAACTAAAGAGTTGGATGGAGGGAAAAGGGAAAACTAATCAGTGGGAAGGGAGAAATTTTAATATTTAATATATGAATTCTTACTCCATCTGGTTGCAAAGATATAAGGATTATAAAATTTCAATTTGCGGTAAGTGTTTGGTTCATTTACGTGTATTGAAGAAGAAAACTGAAATTGATTTAACAGTTTAGCCCCACCCCCCACCCCGTCATATTTATAGCACGGATGAATTTTCCCTCATGGAAAAATGTTGAGAAACTATTGAAAAAGTTTCTGATAATATTATAACTGAAGATTTTGAAATTATATTTAAATTGGTTGGAATGGAAGGTATCCGCCCTGTATAAACACTGGGTTAGCTGTCTAGGTTTACTGATATAAATTATCAAACCTAAGCTCTATAGACTCCTTAAACCAGAGTACAGGGGTGCATGCAACCCTAAGATAACCTGGATTTTGCATCTCAATTTTTAAAAAATACTTGGCAGCGGCGGTCCCTCACACACACACACACTGCTGACAAACAAACATTTAATAATTAATACTTTCCACTTTCTCTTCTTAATCAATCCGAAATCAATCCATTAGATAAGATCAATCAGTACTAATCGAGTTTTGCGGCACAACAGTCAAACTTCTTANCCCCCCCCCCTCTCCAACCAACCAGGCCTAGTCTTGAAATGCATGCATCCTCCCAACCCTGCACTCCTTTATATCAGATAAACCTTTAGACAATTACCACCCAGTAGCTCCTCATGCATGCGCAGAATACAAAACAGAACTAGGACGGATAAACCAAACCAGAACTAGGACGGATAAACCAGAACTAGGACGGATAAACCAAATCAGAACTAGGACGGATAAACCAGAACTAGGACGGATAAACCAAACCAGAACTGGATCGGATAAACCAAAACAGAACTATGACGGATAAATCAAACTAGAACTAGGACGGATAAACCAAACCAGAACTGGGACAAATATGGTTATAAACCCCCACTGCACATGAAAAATAGATTACATCAAAGCTATGGCTTCTATATTTTGAGAAAACGTCAGATTTTGGTTTAAAATTGCAGCCTGGTCATGTTGACTAAACAGAGATCAGAAGAAAAAAAATGAAAGAAAGAAAGAGGCAAGAACAGGGAGAATGAGAAGGATTAATCAGGATAATAAGGTATAGGAAGGATGAGAATGAATAGGAAGGATGAGAATGAATAGGAAGGATGAGAATGAATAGGAAGGATGAGAATGAATAGAAAGGATTAGAATGCATTGGATGAATGAGAATGTAAAGAAAGAATAATTATAAATATGGAGTATGAGATTGAATGAGAAGAATGAAAAGGATGGATGAAATTAAATGGATGGATGAGAATTTTGAAAGAAGGATGAAAATAAATATGAAGGATAAGAATGAATAAGAAGGATAAGAAAGAATATGATGGAAAAGAATGAATAGGATGGATAAGAATGAAAAGGATAGATGACAATGAAGAAGTTCCATGAATAGGATGAATTAGAATGAATAAGACGGATAAGAATGAATATGAAGGGTGAGAATGAATAGGACGGATTAGAATGAATAGGACGGATGAGAATAATAAGGATGGATGAATTTTATTATGAAGTATTGATGAGAATGAATAGGATACATGCGAATGAATAGGACGGTTTAGAACGAAAAAGAAGGATGAATAGGACGGATGAGAATGAATAGAATGAATGAGAATGAATAGGATGGAATAGGAAGGATGAGAATGAATAAGATGGAATAGGAAAGATGAAAATGAATAGGATTGATGAGAATAAATAAGAAGGATACATAGGACGGATGAGGATGAATAAGAAGGATGAATAGGATGGATGAGAATGAATAAGAAGGATGAATAGGATGGATGAGAATGAATAAGAAGGATGAATGGGATGGATGAGAATGAATAAGAAGGATGAATGGGATGGATGAGAATGAATAAGAAGGATGAATAGGATGGATGAGAATGCATGGGAAGGATGAATGGGATGGATGAGAATGAATAAGAAGGATGAATGGGATGGATGAGAATGAATAAGAAGGATGAATATGAAATGGAATGAGGTTCAAGATTTCTCTCCATATACAGGTATCACTAACATGCATATCATCATAATAGACAAATTTATGAAAATCCCATTTGAATATTGAAGAATGAGATGTGGAGATGGCAGGGGGGGGT